ATTTTGGAAATCCGGAAAGTTAGGGGCGAGAATATTGGAAATTTTGGAATTGAGTTTGTGAGGGCTGATCGCCACCCATCCGATGACACACCATGCACATCTACTCAGTTGAGAGGGCATGGTCTGTCAACGGGGGGGGGGGCGACCAAATAAAAATAGCAGTCGGAATAGTACTAGTAATAGTAATATATAATAGTAATGATAATAGTAAAAGTAAAAGTACTATCATCAAGTCGTCTGTTTGAATCAACACTATGTATGGTGTGTCCGGGCTGTGTTGTAAGGGTAGCCTGTACGCCCGATACAAATTAACCTTAAAATACTAAAACCCTCAAGCTGGATATTACCCACAACTTTTGAGGCCCCTACATTATGCCGTCGGCATATTTATTATTGTTAGGTACGAAGCTTTCGGTTTAGAGTTTAGGGTGTTCAGGGTGCAGGAGCACTCTCAGGAGCTAGACTTAAGGACCATGGTCGAAGATGGTGCCGTCGCAAGCATATATACCTGCTGAGGTGTGTTTTCGAATAGGGTATTATTAGGTTTGGAGAGTTTGGTGCACAGGGTTTAGGGTATAAGAAAACCTATAAACACTTATCAACCCTGAACCTCAGTCCGCTACGTCCTAGGCTCTAAACCCGAAACACTACACCCGAAACCCTAAACTCTAAACCTACATGAACCCTGGACCATGGAGGATTACATCTCCACAGGGAAAGGAGACCTGCATGAAATCTTGGAAGGTGCGCCCCTGGGGTTGCGACTAGGATCCATAGGACTTACTACAAGTAGTGTTGGAATTGCCCTAACTAGGGCCATACTTTACTTTGTTTATAACCTAAACCCCTAAGCCCCAAAAAAACCCAAAAACCCTAAGCCCCTAAACCCTAAGCCTACTAAGCCCCATGAGCTTCCAAGTACAGATAAGGGACATAGCGAGCAAGAGTGCGATGACGGAGACTGAGAAGCAGAAGACCTTTCGACAAAAACAGACCCCCGCCACAGCACCATCCAGTCATAGAAGCATCTGCGAGGGTAGCCTTAATGCGAACGAGAAGATGTCTCCCCAAACCCCTAAACCCTAAACCCTAAAAGCCCTAAACCCTGCACCCTATGATTGCACAACGTATGCTGTATGATGACTGCCCGGTGTTCAGACCTCCGACGTGCAGCCTTACATATTCTAACCCTTGTTCGTCCCCCTATCAGTGTCGGAGAAGCGGGAGTTCAGGCTACTTCTTCAATACAGAGGTTGGGTTGAATAATATAGGGGCCTTAATAGTTCGAATAAGGTTTGGGGTGTATTATACTATAATTCCCCAAACAGCTTTAGCTG